TCTAATTGTATTTCACACTCCACTAACCAAATATAACCGTTAGAGGAGAGAGAGAAGTGAGATTCTTCTCTAACAAATTTACACCAAGATTAAATCCTAACCTTCTATCACCCTATGTTACACTTGTCATAATCTATCACTTTGATCTCTATCACTTAGATCTTAGGTTAGAGAAGAGACCACTTGGACTATGATCCAATGCCTCAAATTACATTAGAAAATAAACATATAAAAATGAAATTCAAAACTTGTGACTTTGCCTCCAAGATATCAGCTCAAGGGTTATTTTCTGAGGTGATTACATCAGAAAAAAAAATATTCAAAGTCTTGAAATTTATGTTAATTGTTCTGAATTCTGAGGCAGTGTTGCTGAAGTTGCGTAAATTCTAGAGTACATCAACGTATGACATACATTGCTGAATTTGTGAGGAGAAATGTAACGGAATTTAGTGCTAAGCCACTTAAAATACAATGCATTGATGTAGAGTAGAAGGTCTCCAACTTTCAGCCCGTTTCGTTGAAGCATGAAAGTTTTGATCTTTGTGTGGAAAGATGAGGTTTTTTCTAGTGCTTTTTTACAGGACGGGATCAACTGACTAGTAGCTACTTTTGCATTCTGCAAACCGGGATTGGTGAATTTCAGGTATCTAAGAAGTTGCTGGAAGGAAGGGAGTTGGGGTTTTACACATGGGAAGGGGACGTGCAGGAGTTGTTGAAAGGTGTTCGTGAGAAGGTCAACAAGCTCAGAGAGGTTAATGCCTAGAAAAACTATTTGTATTTGGTCGCATTTGGTTGAGTTTCTAATTATGTTTACTTCTTAGTACTTAGAAGTTGGAAATTTTTGTTTTGTGAGTGCAGCATTGGACTCAAGATGACAAAAACAAATGCTTAAAAGAAACAACAAAATCATTTCGGTATTTGGGGCTGATAGTTCGTTTGATCATCCTAGAGCCCAAGTAATCTGATTCAAACTGCTCGGGAGATGACTTATCGGTAAGGCTGTCTAAATTTATATTCTCCCTTCGTTTTTTGAATTTCTCAGATTTTCAAACATTGGTTGCTAAATTCATCCTTGCATTTTCTGGTGCATTTCTGTCACAGCAGCGATCGCTAACAATGGTTTTCTGTTCTGTTATCAGGAAGCACTGGTCTAGGGTGGACTCATTTTTGTGTAGAAGGTGATTTTTCAACAGGCTTAACTTTACGAGCTGGAGATGAACACCATTGCATCACTTATCTAGAGAGAAGACGAGGATGTCTTGTATACTTTTCTGCCGTAAGGCTGCGCTGAGCACAAGAAGCAGTTTCTTTTGCTGAGCCTTGCGGCGCAAGAATCGTTGATTTTCATATGTAGTAGTATCGTAGCCTTAGGATGATGTATAAGGGGATTGAGAAAGCACCCAACTGCAACTAGATAGTTTTAAGGGAAGAATATTCCTACTGAATTATTACCGAGTTAACTCAGAGATGGCAACTTTAAAACTTTTGATTTGTATGGGTGGATGACACTTCATGGATTTAAACATAGTATCGATACATACATAAATACATTGTGTTATGTTACGAGTAGAATAATAATGCCACATAAGAATTTGATGATTACACAGAAAAAAAATCACTCCAAATTATTCCAATTGCATTACTGTATCTGTATTATCGTTTTTTTTTTTTGTCATTTGATTTAATTGTTTAGATAAATGCTCTGGTACGTGGTTAAATATTTTAGTGGATATGGTGTTAGGTTTTTACATATGTGTCTAGTTTGAAATTTCCTCTTTCTCCTAAATTATTTTGATTGCTTTGAACTCTCTCCATTCCCGTCAATAAGAATGAGGATCCTTTCCGGATCCTCTTTGTGAGGATCCTAGAGATCCTCTAATCACGTCCGTTCATTGTACATCGTGCTGTTAGAAATCATTGTAAATTTTTTTATTTAAAATTGAATATAAATAGTACCTAACGAAAACTGACCGTACAATGTACGATAAACGGACATAATTGGAGGATTCCCAGAATCCTCATAAAGAGGATTCAGAGAGGATCCTCATTCCCTTAATAATAGTAATAGTAAATTAAAAAAAACAAACAAAAAGATAAAACCCTTTATGGGGTGGCTCAGTAAGTAGGAATGAATTTCAAATTCGTATTCCACACGACACCTTCTGGATTCGATTTTCTGGCACTCCCGAATCATACTATGATCTGGTGACTAGAAAGATGCTAAAATGACTCTGTAAGTATTTTTGACTTCCAAAAAGATGAACTATTATGGCGAAACAACCAGCTCCTTTCCTTTAATGAAAAAACAATAAGATATATAAATGCTCTACTACGACGGTGAGTTTAGGAGCACGTGCTGCTTAAGGCCAATTCAGATTCCCAGTCGGATCAAGTTGGGAAGTCAAACAAGGTAATGCAAATTATAAATTAGACTAATTAGTATGATAATCCAACAAAAGATAAGGAGAGATTTAGTTTATAATTGGATATGCTATTCATACGTACTTTTTAATTTTTACATATATTTTGTTAATTTATATATTTTGATCTTCTTAACTTCATCTAATTCGACGATTAAAAATTTTAAAAATACGTGAAAAGGAAAAAAGAATGTATGATGCATAACAGCGAAATTGAAAGCCTTCGTAAAAGAAGCGATGCAACGTGGGAGGTCAACTTATCAAAGAATATGAATCCCTTGCTTCTTTGACCTCCTGCCCCCCCTTATATTATTATCATATAACATCTGCATTAATTGTAATAATTAAGTAGCAAATGGGTTCAAAAACTCATGAGCCACACATGCCACGATAAACAATGCAACCGGTCGATAAATTTGCGTTCATAAAAAACCAGAGATTTTTCAATGGGATCATTACACGAGATGGTAAATTTTGTGTTCTTATATAAAGAGAGATGTGTTATCCACACATCTCAAATTACTCATCACATACCTCTTGTTAATTTATATATGTTGATCTTCTTCAATTCATTCGATCCGACTGTCGAAAATTAGAAAGGTGTGTGAAAAGTAAAATAGGATGTGTGGATATCACACCTCTATAAATAGTGGGTTACGTGTGTTAAAAAATTAATAACTTAAAAATTAAAATTTTTCATCACTTGCATAAAAACAGATAGTGTACCATCCATATTTCCGTTACAACTAAAAATTTCTCCTAAAAAACGCGAACCGACAACTGAAAAAACTCTTGTTAATTTAGATACAATTCTTAAGTACTGATCGATGAATACTTCTTATACTAGATCACTGATCATAAGACGTAGTAAACTTTTGGCCGAAACCTTAATAATTTGTGGTCAAGTTATGGAGCAAGTTGTACATATCGATTAGGCGCTTGCTGTCCTTTCGTGGAGTAATTTTTCAGTGTACCCGGTACACCAAAAAAATTTGGTGTACCCTCACTCATAATGGTGAGGGTACACCAAAAAAATTTGGTGCACCCTCACTTTTTGTACACCAAAAAAATTCTAATGAGTGAGGGTACACCAAAAAAATTTGGTGTACCCGGTACACCTAAAAATTTTCCCCTTTCGTGGCTTATGGTTTGGTTATGGCAGCTCACTTCAAGTCTTGAGTTCTGTGCTTTGGAAACTTCCAGCAATGGCTTCAAGTCTAAACCAAATATATAACAAATAATATTTTTAAGAAATTATAATAGTATTATTATCAAAGTAATTTTTTTTTTTTTGAAAATTTTACTAGTAAATAGTTGAAAAAATTCAATAAATTATTTTGTTATGGTAATCGAACCTAGTTTTGATTTTGATCCATGAAGTCAGTAAACATTTGGGTATTAGAATCATTTCAATTCCTAACTTTTATGTGTTTACTAACACATAAACATGAGCATTTCTAATTTATGACTTCTCTTTGTGTTTACAAACACATGAAAATTAACAAGTTATATAAATTTCATGTTATACTTTGTACTTGTAGTTCAATACATGAAAAATTAAGAATTAAATTGATTAGAAAAATAGTTTATAACATTTTATTTATTCTCTCCATATTGCCCTAGGCAACGTTTCTAAATTCAGCCTGTCCAAAGCCCTAGGCAACATTTCTAAATTACAAAGTCTAGATCCAAGTAATAAATTTAGAGTGGCCGCGAGTCAGCTGTCTCTGATTTTATGTCTCTTTTGTATTTCCTTTCTAATTTTTTTGACATTCATCCTTCAACTTAAATTCACAATTAACAATATATAACATAATATTATAATGACACTATAATAAAATACATACAGAATCTAAAACAGTAAAACTTGCTTAGAAGCCAAAGAAGGAGAAGAAATGGTATCGTTTTTCACGAGGTGAAGCAGCAGCTTAATTAAAAACAGGACATAACGTAACAGCCACTGCTCTCTTTCTGCTCTTCTATTGTCACCACCTCAATCCCGACTCCCAACTCAATCGTAAAGTTGTAACAAAAACACAGTGTTGGAGGGAAGGGAGAAGACGACAACGACGAAGACGAAGAAATGCCGATTTATCTTTCTTCTGCTCACAGAATGGACGATGAAGAAATCATTTTATTCGATAAGGTTGGTTTTCAGTAATTTAGCGCTCGTTCGATAACCATTTTGTTTTTAGTTATTATTTTTGTCGTTTTGATCACCTTAGTTAGTGCAAGTACTGTATAACCTGATTATGCTTTAGTAATAATTCGATCTGATTTTTTCAAGCTCTGACCACTTCATTCGCCTTTTTTTTCTCAATATGTTCCAATCAGAAAAAATAATAAATAAAAATAAAAACAGCAAAATCCTATTTAAGCAGCTTTTTGTTCTTCTGTTATTTTTCTTCTTTAATGGAGGATCTTAGATGGAAGCCACAGTATGCTCAGTTCTTTCTGTCACTCTTAATTTCGTCAACTAATGTACATTCTAACTTTTAAGTTTCATCCGTTTCGGGCTACTTTTAATTGCAGGATACAATTGTTACTAAAGCTCCCAAGAAATCTCCATTAATACTGAGGATGGTGGTGCTGCTTTTTGCAATGGTTTGTGGAGTTTTTATTTGCTTAGTCTGTTTGAAGCAAATAAACACTCAGACTAAGACCAAATTATTGAACATCGTAGCGATTAATCACAGCGACCAAATTAATCAACCGTGCCAAGTTCCCGATGATCATGAGCAATCGGAAATCAGCTATCTGCATTACCCTAAACCTCAAACCTTCAAAAGGTACCTGTGAAGTCAAGATTCCATTTTGTTAATCAACTTTATTTGATATATGCATGCATGTTTTTTTAGTTTGATTAACGGGAAGTGATTTTCACACTCTCAGGAGGGAATGCGTCTGCAATCCCGTCCGCTACTTTGCCATATTGTCAAAGCAAAGATCTGGGAGTGGATGGTTTGAAACATTGTTGAATAGTCACATTAATGTAAGCTCAAATGGGGAGATATTTTCGGTTCAAGATCGGAGGGTTAATGTTTCATCGATTTTGAAGAACATGGATAAAGTATATAATCTTGACTGGTTTAGTAGTGCCTCCAAGAATGAGTGTTCAGCTGCCGTTGGATTCAAGTGGATGCTTAACCAGGTTAGTAGTTAAAATGTTTAATTGATTAATCAGGAGTTCAAGATGATTAATGTGGTTAATTAATTAAATATGTAAATGGTAATGGTGCAGGGTTTGATGGAGAATCACCAAGAGATAGTGAAGTACTTCAAGGAAAAAGGAGTGTCTGCAATATTCCTCTTCAGAAAAAACTTACTCCGCAGAAAGATTTCTGTACTTGCAAATTCATATGATAAAGATGTTAAGCAACTCAATGGCACCCACAAGTCACATACCCATTCTCCATTGGAGGTAATATAAAATCTCTCGTCTTATAACTCAGAGCGTTTAAAATTTCTAACCCTGCATCGAGATTCTATGTTCGACTTCTTATTCTCACTATCGCTAGTATAAAAGAGAAAGTTGAAACAGTTAAATTAGACCCCTATATTGAAATTCTAGGTTCGAACCCGTCGGTTTCCTAATCTAACATCTAATCTAATAAATCTATCATTTGATCAAAAAATAATTAATACAAAAAACAAAAATTCTGTGTTCGATTTCCAGTCTCGCTATTGCTTGTATAAAAGGGATTGTTGTTACAGTTTATGAAATTAATTGCAGGCTCAAATACTTGCAAAGTACAAGCCCAAGATTAATGCCACATTGCTAATTCCCGATCTTAAACAAGATGAGGAGGAAGCTGCCAAAGCCATAGAATATTTCAAAACTACTCGCCATATTGTTGTTTACTACGAGGAGGTTATCAACAACCGTACTGTAAGTCAGTCTGACAAAATCATTATGCACTCGTCTTTTATCAAACAAATGAGAGATTTGCACATAAGAAAGTGCGAGATGACATCCTTAGAGAGCAATAACAGTTTCCGTTTATCATATAATGATTTATAAGTAGTTCTAACTAATTCTTTATTATTCGACATCTTATGAACTACAAATTTGGTTTTGCAGAAACTTGATGAGGTTCAAGATTTCCTAAGGTTGCCACACAGGGAGCTCAAGAGCCGTCAGGTTAAGATACATACGACGTCATTGTCGAAACAAGTCGAGAACTGGGAGATGTAGAGAAAGCACTCAGAGGGACGTCGTACGAGAGTTTCATGCATGCAGACTATCAACTGCATTCTTCAGTTTCACCCACTAATTTGAGTTGATCAGACTCTCATCAGATTGAAATGTACATAATTAACCACTTCAGTTCAGAAGATCAATTTTTTCGATTGAAATTTTGTAGGTTTATATATTTTTTTTTTTTTATCGTCCATCTATTTAGTAAGTTTATTAGGGCTTGTTTGATATCCTTTTTGAAAATTTTTATAATTTCTATAAACATTTCTTAAGAAGTTTTCTTGAAAACAATTTTCTTTAAAACTCAAAAACTTGTTTGGTATGTGATTTAAAAAATTTAAATTTTACAACTTAAACTGGACAAAGAGATCTAAAAAGAGAGGGTTGAGAGAGAAAGAGGAGAGAGGAGGAAAGAAAGTAAAAGATAATTGAAGAAAAGAGAAAGAAGTTAGAGGATCGGAGGAGATATAGAGGAAGAGGAAGAGGAGTGATAGAAAAAAAAACCGAGAAAATAATGAGAGAAGATTGGAGAAGAAATGAAAAAGGTAAAAAAAAAAACTAAATAAATAAAGAGAAGGGGGAGAGAGAAAGAAGAAGAAGAAGAAGAGAGAGAGAAAGAGAGAGAGAGAGAGCTTTGGAGTGAGAGGGGAGGAGGGAGAGAAAAAAAATGGAATTTTAACGAAAAGTTCACGGTACTGTTCACTTTAACGAAAAATCAAATTTTTACACTAAAAAATCAATCCTGGTACTATTCACTTTACCCTTTATTTTGTCCTTATCATTAAAACTCAAAGTTTTCAAGCTGTTTTCATTAGTTTTCCTAAAAAGAATGAGTGAGTTTAAGTTTAAAAACTCTAAAAACTCATTTTTTGTATTTTTAGAGAATATACTATATTTTTGAGTTAGTCTTGAATTCGGTTTTTAAAAATAATTATACCAAACAAGTTTTTAAAGCCTAAAACTTAAAAATTATTTTTGAGTTTAAAAAGTTAAATTCAAGTAAAATACCATACATGCTCTTAAGTTTTTTTCTGTGTATTTTTCAGCTGAAATTTTTTGTTACTAAATTCCATTGTATCTAATTGATTGGATCTTGGAAATGCACTTCCTTTGCCCTGCCTGGCCTTCAAAAGAGGAGAATTTGAACCCTAACTCTCCATTGTAGACGAGATACTTTGCTTTATAACCGGTAATATATCTTTTTGTATCTATATCTTTCATCTCGTGTACATAAAGGGGATGTATTGCCGTTCGTTTTACCTAAGAATCTGTGTTCACGGTGCAGACGACACGATTCAATCCGGAACCGATGCGAAGACCAAGTTTCTGTACAAATCGGGCGGGTAAAAAGTTCAGGATGCAAAATATTATAATACAACCGTTTTTTTTTTTTTTTTCCTAATGCTTTTCCGTCATTGCCATCTAACGAAGGGAGCTACAATAATATTACAACTAGAGCAAAGCGCATATCAGCTAATTACTGATCCATCACTTGCTCCAACATCAGTTTTATCTGTTTGTCGAATAACAAACTGATCAACGATTTTAACGGTATGTAACGGATCTTGTTGACCGGCTGCTGCACTCCATTTACTGGGAAATTTTCTACGGTGGCTCATTTGTTCCGGCTGTTTTGGCTCCCGATCCCATTCAGGGTCTAGCTTCCATGCTTTCGGGACCTGCACGTTTTAGTTCAGATGTTAATTTTCGAAAGGCCTGAATATGTTATCGGAAAGTGAACCAGCATTGAACATTGCTTTCTTACCCTATCAACTGCGAGAGTGTAAACTTCAAGATCACCAGTCACTGTTGATGTGAAATCGGGTGAAAGACTTGTAATTAGCAATTCGGAGAGAGGAGAAGGCTTCATCGAAGTGTATGTGAAGCCAATTAATGCAGATGTACAAGTAACTTCCGAACACCAAAGAAACCACTGGGGTCGAGAAGACCCAGAAATAAAGGAAGACGGAAGCATAATATATAACAGCACCCACTCTAGATAGCGATTCCATCCCATTCTTGCATATATTGTTTCGGGTGACAGCCATAACCTGATGATGTTACTCCGTCGTCAATATGTAACAAAGAAAATGACTAACGAGTTTGCAAAGAGTTTTCCATACCTCTGGAACATCAAATGCAGACATGAAATACTTGATGCATGCTGGATAAAGGCCAAAAGTCCATTGTTCTATACGAGCTCGAAGGCCAGTTGGATCTGGAAAGTGCTCACTCTCCACCGATCGGTACCACTGATATAAAGTATGATAGCCTGAAAAGTAAAAATTACATCATATAACACAAAATCAAGAACATAATTTCCGTAATGGTAAAAATTATCGGATAATCAATATGATCAGACGAACAAATACAACAGAGAATGACAGAAACCCATAACAGATAATAAAAACTCACCTGAAGTTCCCAGTAGTTTATGCTGGACACACATCTCAACACCCAGTTCCAACAGTAGCATAAGTATTAGAGCTGCAGCCAGGTGCGCAGACACATGAAGAACTCCAATCATCAATCGTTTCTTCCGAGACACTTTAGAGGGGACAAATATAACTGCCACAATTAACAGCAGAACAGCACCTGCTAAAGACACATAAGAGCGTCCCAGCATGTACATAAAAGCATTCCACACTGTTTGAAAGAAAGACCCCACGTGACCAGAAAATGAATCTTCTCGTAGGATATGACCAAGCTTACACTACAAAATAAAAACAGGAAAAATTAGAATTTTCAAAATAACAGAGTATAATCGCATCACTGGATAAGCAAATATGAAACAATTTTGCAAGTTCTCTAAGGAAGCAAAAGCACAGCGACGAAGTAATCAAAGACTCACCTGTGGGAACATAGAAAAGACCAATATGAAGTATATAATGCCACCGATAAAATCAAATTGCCAGTTCTTCTTTCGAAACTTTAGAATATTTCCCAGAGCAATCTGGAAAAAGAAAAACTACTAGTTAGCACCAATAAATAAATAAATGTGAATTTAGTATTGACAGCCTTGGTCTCATAAAAAGTTAAAAACCGATACTAACCCTGCTTGAATCTTCAAATGAAGGATAAGCAGCCTTGGTCTCATATGAAACTCCACAAAATTTCTTAAAATTACTAAAGGTGTGAGTGGGATGTAGAAAAGCCCCACCACACCCATTTACGATTAAATGTTGCACGGGAACTGGACCATCTGTTTTAATAAATGAATGACGCATATAATGATGCAAATCTCCAGCCACTCGAAGCTTACATCTCCCTTTTAAATAATCGCATATCAGGTGCGCAACATTCTTTCCAGAAACATCATTCCAGTACCAATCAAGAAGCCAATTTGGTTCATGTGTCATAATGATTACAGAGTCACCATCTCTGACCTGGAAGAAACATGAAGAGATGAGAACGTTAACTGCAGTAAAAATCAAAATTCGAAACTTGGAAAATCAGAAGTAAGCAAAGTAAAAAGCTCAATGGTGTCCCTGGCAAGCATATACATAGTTTATGTAGGTTTAACATGCATCAAGAACAGAAACAATTAAGAGATGAAGAGATGTGATAGTTTATGTAGCTATCACATTGGTGAAACCCTCAATTCTAGAGACATAATATACGACATTTCTACATTTATAAATGGGGGGAAAATATATATGAATTCATAACAAGTCTAGTGTCAATCCTCCCCAGTTCACCATTAGAGAGAAAAAAAAAGAAAACCACCTGTCTCATCCCCTACCAATACTTTGCTTGTGTAATGCGAACCACAGAAACAATTAAAAGGACCATATTTGTAAAAACTGGACCCCGTTATCCATATCTCCAAAAAGTTAAAAGAAAAAGCGAAGGACAAAAGTAACAACTCACAAAATGTAAAAACAACTTGATAAACCATGGGTACCACTTTAAGTGGAACATGTTGAAATTAAAAAGAAAAAGAAAAAAGAAATACCTTGTTCTTAATAAGTTCTGTAAAGAATTTGAATTGGTACACATCAATATCACCGTGGAGTGCGAGATCAAAACCAAATACCCACCATCTTTTAGGGAGTTGCAGAGCAAAATAACTCTTCTTTTGAGGCATAAACCACCCACCCAACCAGCTCTTATGGCATATATACCTCATGAATGTTTGAAGTCCATCAAACCAATCTGTAATTGCAAAAAGAAACAAAGAATATTTACTACACCATATTAACATTATAGCTTTTACTGAAGATGTTCAGGCTAAGAGTAAGGTGAACCATGGTTTCCAGGAATGACAAAACACTGAGGTCCATCATAGTTCTTCAGCTCAGACACACCACGAGGTAGTTCAGGCTTATCTACAGCTATATGCTCTTGTTTAGACCATGGAGGAGGCTGGAGAGCATACTCAAAAGGACAAAAAAGGCGCCTTTCATAGGTGAACGCTGATGGATTAGGATACCTAAACATATCAAATTAGCAGATTAATAGATATTTAACATGATAAACTATCATTATCAGAGATATACATGCCTAAACAAAAAAAAAAAAAAAAAAAAAAAAAAAAACACAATGAAATGAATTAGAGGTTGAAGTGCTCATGACAAACAAAGGTCAGAAAGGATGAAAAACATCGACAAAAACTTTACTGGAATCTTCAAATCAAACATCATGGGCATATTCAGGTATTTAGCCAATTAACATTATCTTAACCAAGGTTCCAACACGGTCTTTCTTTCAACTAGGGAATAAAGTAGACAGCACCAGCTGAGCAGCTAACCAATGTCCAACTGGTCAGAGAAATGGTGTAAGCAGAGAAAATGGTGACAAAGAAAAGTCAATTGGACCAGGACAGAGCAATTCGGTTGGTGGTGGTGGTTTCGTCATAGTGCTTACTCATTAAAGTTTCTGATGAAATTTACAATACCCACCTCAAACATCAGTTTACGTAGTCCACAAAACTCTACTTACACAGGGATATTCAATCTCAGATCAATCCGGTTCCAGGAGTAGTCATTATGGAATCC